GACAATGTGTCTGGCCCTAATGCAAGCCTGTGCCACACACGACCTGAGCACAGCTACAAGTGCAGGGATTGGCTGGTGGCACAGGGCTGGGTTCTTACTTCCCCTGCTGCCAGCACTAGTACCAGCGGGTTCCTTGCCAGCTGAGGAGGAGCCACAGCTCGGCCCCATAGGCGTCAACCCTGACTGGAGAGCATGTGCTGTTCATCATTCTGAAACTTTTCACCCAAGGCCAAAACAAAACTGCAGGCTGGAAATATGTTTGCATGTTCTGTGAATTCCGATATATAAAATTAGAAACGTACATCTTTAAAAGCCTATACTGTAATACAAAGAATAAAGTACATGAACAGCCTATTCACAAAAGTGCAAAAGGCCAATAACAATTTGAAAAAATGTTAAATAACCCTCACTGGCAACTGAGGATATGCAAAGCAGTGAGGTGAGACTCTGTCCCTCACTCAGCAAAGCACTTTTCCAAGTTGCTCGGTAGCACAGGCAAAGTCCAGAAATCGTGCAGGGCTGATGTGGGACCGTGCTTCCTGACAAGTGACTTAGCCATATTTCCACATTTATCAACTGCCAACAAGTAGCTATTTTCCAATTCCCTTCATGTGTAGGAAAGGTAAAGGATGCCTCTCAGGCTGCACATGTTCCTGCTGCCCAGTAGTAACCAGTGAGAAACGCAGAGTCTCCAGTATCAGCAGCTGCTGCAGGAAGTTGGACTGGCACCTGGTCTGGTTATCTGCCATGCCAGACATGATGTCACACAGTGAAACATCTTCATGATCAAAGGACTGAGCAGTCACTTCAGAGAAGGCAGACCTTCAGGGAAAGGGGTGCTTAGTCTTGACAAATGACCACTTGCCCCATTCCCCACATGCCTGATGTTATACAAGCATAAAGAACGCCCAGCTGGGATAAAGACGCAGAGCCCCAAGTCCACATTCCAACAGTGTCAGGGCAGGGAGTGAAGCTGAGGCTAGTGGCACACAGCAATGCTCCCAGATGATAACCCTTGCATGACTGGGATGAGGACTGAATCCTGGCTGGCAGGGAAGGACCTTGACAGAAAACAACACAGGCAGGCCATCTGTGGCCCACTGCCACCTGGGGGCATGTGGGTGCAGGAGGAGAGGTTCCACCTAGTCCTTCTGCCTCTGGGGACAGATATGCAATGAGTTACCCCAGTCCCAACACAGGAGCACCCAAGGCCAACTTGGTCTGTCCCTCAACAGGGGCTGGCACTGGAGCAGAGGCAACTGCAGACAGGGGAAAAAAGTAAAAGCACACAAATAAAACCCAGGCCCACATAAAATAGGCATCTGATATCAGGAGACTCATAGGAAAAGGCTAGAGCAAATTCCTTAAGAATCCCACTTCTAGAGGACCCTGGACTCATGGGGTCAGTGCTAGAATCAGGAAAAAGAAAAGTGAGATGATCAACCCAGAGCAAATCAATGCACGCTGGGCTGCTCTGCTCCAGCTGAGGCAGACCTTCACAAGCACTCAGTGGAAGGAGCACAGGCCCCGCAGAGGATGGAGGGCAAGTGCAGGTAGACAGCTGTGGAAGGAGCTTTCAGAGCTCAAGAAACCAAGTCTTCTCTAAGGTAAAGGCTAATGTTGTGCAGGGCCACCTGCTGCCCCCAGGTCTCTGTATGCCTCGATGTCTCTCCTCTAAGGATATGGTTGAAACACCACTGCCCTATTAATATCAGGACCTGCCAACACTCAGGCCTGCCTGCACCAGCCCTGCTCATGCCCGGGGCTCCCTGCACTCTGCTGTTTCTTTCATGACACTCCTAAGACCCAGCATGCAGTTGGTCCTCTGGACCCCTTGCTTCTACATCCTTGCAGTCCACCAACACTGCATCACAAATATTTTGTAAAAAGTGGGGTGACTGAATACGTACATTTTTATTACCTCCTGAACAATACAGTGTAAGACATGTTTATTCTGCATTTACATTGTATTGGAAATTATAATCAACCTAGAGGTGATTTAACACACAACAGGTTGTGCCTGGTCTGTGCCACTACCACACTCTTTTCGGTAACCTGACAATTTTGGTGTTCACAGGTCCAGGGACCACTGCCAGTGGACCACAAGGCAAGACATTCTTTTCTATTCTGTCTCCCTCCGCTGCATCATGAGTACAGTCAAGCAGTCGCCGGCACTCAGGAGGTCACCGGGGATGACCTGCCGGTCACAGGAGTACTTCAATGAACAGGCCAGGCCATGCACTCCCTCCCATGTGAGGACCTCAACACACACAGCAGAGGCTCTGGCGGGCCACACCCCCTGCAGCTGCTCAGCACACCCACAGGAGCCCTCTGGAAGGACTCTGAGGTTGGTCCCGGTCTTGCCCTGCCACTGACAGCCTCCCGTGACAGCCTGAGTCCTGAGTGCCCTTCCAGGGACCCAGTGACTTACACAAGTTCTGTATAACGTAGAAGAGAATGGCCCACCAGAAGCCTGAAGACCTCCCAAAGCAAGGACCTGGGAAGTGGGGCTGTCAGGCGCCGCAGCTACCTAAGCATCTGACTCAAGACCAAGGAGGCACCCCATGCTGCGCCTCCAGCACACCTGTGAGCACTTCTACTTTCCATGCAGACGTCTTGTGAAGGAAAGGAGCACCTCAGATTCCCTCTACCTTCTCAGTTCCTTAACAGTGCAGGCCAGCCACTTCCTTCTAATCTGAAGCACCCATCTCTAAGCCTGAGTTCATGTCCTTCTGGGGAGTTGACAAATTTCTGGGTGAGTAAAGGTCACGGCCAGGTGCTGAGGAGCCCACCCTGCAGTGGGGATCCTGTCCTAAGCTCAGAATCAAAACAAACACTCTCTGGGGTAAACATACTATGTACTATCAAAGGTTTTATTGCATATCAATCAATAAACCTACAGTGTCACAGGCTTGGAGTATGCAGAATGTTCTTTTTTCTGCTTTGTTCATAAACACATGGTAAAAGAACTTCCTAACTTAAGCAGAGGAGCAGGGCCCCTGAGCCTTCCATTCTCACAGCATGGATGAGTGGGGCTCACACCCCACACCTTGTTTTAAAACTGGAGCCCAGCACTTCAAGCATATGGGCAAGTGCCTGTCCCACACCACAACCCCCACTGGAACCCTGCATGTGCCCACACAAGTTTTATGAATTACTCAGTGTTGATGATTTTGGCTTGCAGAATTTTCTCTAACAAGAAGAAAAGATACGAAGATAGTTGCTAGCAATGCAATTTCCAGCCACTAAAATAGGAGCCTCACTAAAAAGTTCATTTTTGTGAAACCCGGAGCCCACATCAGGGTCACATGTGGGCTGCACCAAGATACAGAGCTAACAGTACTATCACACACCTTTATCCAGGGAGGCTGGACTCAGTTGGACAGGCCCAGATGCACATGGTCCAACATACAGACAGGGTCTACCACCTTGCTGGTGTATTTCAGCTGGGCATGAGCTCAGACACCGTCCTCAGACATGTCCTCTCCAGCAGTTTCCTGACCTGCTTCCCATGGCTGGCCCTGGAGAGCCACACACGCCTGCCCTGAGCTCCTGCAGTCAAATATAGCAGCCCACACTTCATTTTCTATGAAACCTCCTTGTGGGGTGGGAACTCGAGTGAAGCCACGTGTCACTGAACACCCTGCAGTACAACTGGGATGTGTACCGTCAGACGTGCCACACAACCCCACAGCTGATGTCGACTTGAGACTGGACTTGCTTAAGATCAGGTTTCTCAGACACCTCTGTGTTCACCCTACAAGCTGAACAAATCCCAGAGGGACTGGGAAGAGCTACAGGCAAAGAGCTGCAGGGGCCTAGATGAGGACTCTATCTGCTCACATCTACCTCCTGTTGACTCAGTCTAGCTTCTTCACTAAGAGCTTAACACCATGTAAAAACTTAAAACTCACATATCTGGATTTCTAGACGATTTTTCAATCTGACAAACTGATGATTTTTAACCTTCTAAATGTAAGTGCTTTCACTTGGACAGTTTTTTTCTTTCTGAAATTTGAAGTGTTTCACAGCACCATACCTCAGACAGGCAGCCTGAAGGTGCTCAAGCAGGATAAGACTCAGGGAGGGAACAAGGGACCTGCCCCGTCCAGGTTGGGTGGAGCCCACTAGACTTCCAGTGAATGTTCCTCTATCTGTAATTCTGCACTCAGAACAAAATAAAGGGTTCATTTAACATATTCTTTTCCATGGAGTCCCAACTTCACGCTTCCCTTCACATGAGAATCTTGAGCAAAAGTATTTTCAGTGAGGTGGCCCCATGTTGATTTCAGAAAGCCTAACCTCATGGGATCCAGCCGCTGCACTGAGATATGCCCAGCTGGCGGTTTCAGAGGGCTCTGGGCTCAGGGGACTGGCCATTACATGATGTGCCCAGCTGGTGGTTTCAGAGGGCCTGGCCTCAGGGGATTGGTCATTACACAATATGCCCAGCTGGTGGTTTCAGAGGGCCTGGGCTCTGGGGACTGGTCATTACATGATGTGCCCAGCTGGTGGTTTCAGAGGGCTCTGGGCTCAGGGGACTGGTCATTACATGATGTGCCCAGCTGGTGGGTTCAGAGGGCCTGGGCTCAGGGGACTGGTCACTAC